GGGGGGGGGGGGGGGGGGGGGGGGGAGGTATCGCGCCACATGGATGAAAGAGACCACATGTTGCGACTCCACCTGCTGGATGAAGTCCATAAGGGCGACCTCTGTGTCGACCAAAATACCGGCCGCCGTCAGGCCATAGTGTTCGAGACTCGGCAGGTCGGCCGACAGGGCTGCTCGCTCGGGCGAAAGCACACTCTGGAGCACATTCAAGGCGCCCTCCACCATGTCCAAAGGTCGGCCATCGATCCACCACCCGAAGACGGGCATCTTCGCCAGCGTATTCTGAAGCATCTCGGTGTTGAGCGAGTTCAAGATTTCGTTGGCCCGGCTATGGACTGTGCCGCCCGGGCGAGGTTGTGGCATGCAAGACAGCGACGCATGCAAGTTAGTGGGACAGCACTGACAGCCGGTTCGCCCCCCCCGCTGGAGCCCGCGGGGAGGGAGCTGCGGGGCTTTGCCAGCCCGGACCGCCGCGCCTGCGCATCCTTTCCCAGGGCCGCTCGGTCATGGGCAGCGAGGGGCCAGTTGGTGGAGATTGCGGGAGGGGGGGGGGCGTTTGAGTGTTGCAAGGGGCCTGGCGGCGTGCAACCACCAGGCCGTGTGGGCTTCCCCCCCCCCCCCCCCCCCCCCCCCGGCGTCTCGTGTTGAGGGGGAGGGGAGAATCCTCACATGTACAAGGACAGCGGAGGGCGCACTTCGCCTGACATCCTGCCAGAGGTACAAAATTTCCGGCGGAAAGATATTCATAAAGTGCAAGAGAGTGGCACAGGCGAATGCAGTGCGCATCCGATCCTCTGGACGGAGGGTTCCCCAAGCCTCATGATGGAGTTTCAACTTTCCGCTCAGCGTGGCGGCCAAGAGGCGGATGAACCGGATACAGGAGGCCTCGTGGAGTGAGGGGCTCAGCAATAGCCCCACCTTGGGCAAGAACCAGTACCGGCGGATGGAAGGGTCGGGTTGGGCAAGCCAGAGGCGGGGTGTCAGTGGGTCGGTCGCATCGCGAGGCCGGCATCATCTTTTATCCATGTAAGAGCGCGCCCGAGCAAGGACCACGCGCTTCGAGGTCACTGTTTGTTCTGGGTTGTACCAATACACTGGCTTGGCCAAGCACATTGTTGATGACGGCGCTGTAGAAGTAGTCCACGCCTCCGTGGTGCTGGTAGATGTTGACGGTAGCGGCCTGGACTGTTTGATGTGTATATTTGTGAAAGCGAAAGAGGGGGCAGGCGAGGGGCAACGGGTCAGCATGTTTCCGGTTAGATGCTCGAGCTGGGGATCAAGAACAGAAGGCATGGCATTGTGGGGCCGGGCAATCTCGGCGCGCGCGTACTACTTGGGGCCAGGCGCGGGTAAAGAGCGTGTATGTCCAAATCCACGGGATTGATGCCAACACACAGAAGCCCATGTCCAGGGTTCGTGGCGGCCGGCAATTCATTTTGCGGCTGTGCAAGGAGAGTAGTCTTGAATGTGGCGGCGGCCGGCCGTGGTGCCGACATGACGAAGTGGGGTCAGCCAATCGGATCGCAAGCATCTTTTACGGGAGAGAGAGAGAGAGACGCCCCCCCCCTCCTCCCCCTTAGACCCGACAGACCAAAAGCGCACGTACGGGGGGCGTTGTCATGGTTGTCACTTGTTGTACGGGTGCCGGATGTTTTGGGGATATCCGTGCGGGGCAAAGGAAAAGGGGCCACGGGGTGAGGGCGGCGTCAGGCAGGTAGAAGAGGGGAGACGAGCGGGGCTGATGTATCGAAGGGGGTGTGCTCTAGTGGAAAGAGCAATGGCCGCTTGAAGGGCCCCGTCCCCTCTCAAGTTCCCCCTCTGGGCCGCCCGAGAGTCGTCACATCACCAGGAAGACACACCCCGGCGAGGCATCTACTGGGAGACATGACAAGGATGAGGGGAAACAATGATCAAATTTTTCCCCGAGTGAAGGTGCGCGTGCCAGCGCCGCTGTAGAGGGAACACCCAAACGCCGGCTTCGGCTCAAGCCCGCTCACCCGGCACGACGGAGGCTTCGCCTGGGCAGGCGCCAGGGACTGGGGCCAACCTCTCACCCGACTCCCACCATAAAATTGGCGAGTTCCGCCAGGGCTAATCGCAGTCGCCTGGCGTCGGTCCATGGAACAGTACACTGCGCTCTCCCTGGCTGAGACCGACGAGGAATGCCCCCCATGCCCAGTTTGTATTTTTTGTCGCGAAACCACCCCCCGGCCGGATGGTCATTGCAGATATTCACAACGCTTACCAGCACGGGGAGTACTGCCGGGCACGCGCTGGGCAGCATCAAGTTGCCAGGGCTTACCACCGTGTGTGTGTGTGTGTGTGTGTGTGTGTGTGTGTGTGTATGTGTGTGTGTGTGTACCAGGGCTTGTGGGTTCCTGCGGTCGAGAGACGAGCAAAAGTACACCCAGGGAGGGGCATTTCCTTGGCGGAGGGGGGGGGGGGGTAGGGGGGGCTGATCAAGCGGGCGAACATGGGTTGGTCCCAATGTGATGAAATTGCTAGCACCCTGTGCCGGCAGGGGGGCCCCCTTTTCCCCGGTCATTCTCGACCTTTCTGGCGAACGCTCTCCTGGGGCCATCGCCACCACCGGTTGTGGCTCACCTGTCTGGTCGGAGGCCGAGCTCTTTTCTCCTACACCCGGCCAACTGCACCGCAAGGATTCCCGATCTCAATCCCCAGGCGGGTGCGACCATATCCTGGGCCGTCCCTCGAAGCTGTGCAGGCCCCAACAGACACACACGGGTCCCTGATGGACAGATGATTCGCTCAAAAGGGGATTTATATCCTTCCTGCTCGTCGACTCCCTGCCGCCTGAATCGGGGGTCGCCCTCGATAGAGGAGTGAGAGAGCTGTTGCCCAGCCGCGGGGCCTGCCAACAGAAGCCTGGTCCGCCTGTGCTTGCGGGCTCCTTGCTTCTGGGACGCCCAGGGCACTGGCCGGCCATTACTGGCCCCGTCACCACTCCCTGCCCCGGGGGAAACGAGGGATGCTTCTACCAGTGTGCCATTCTCACAACTGCACCCCGGAGCGTGTCCTCCCCCCCCCCTGGGGACTACGGCGCGCCATCCGAGGTCACACCCCTCCTGGCCTGCAGGGTACTCCGTGTGGGTGCATATGTGTCGCTCCGTACATGAGCGCCTGCAAAAAGAGCGCCCGTATGAGCTGCATACGTGTGTTTGAGTCGATTCGCGTATGGTGAACGCACCCATTTTCACGCCTTTGTCCGATGCCTCGCAGGTACCCTTTGGCGCGACCAGAATGGGAGCAGCTTCTCTCGGAGAAACTGCCCGCCGACGTCTGCCTAAGGCACAACTCGACCAGTCGACATTCTACCTTGAGGACTCTGCCGGTACAGCGCTAGTAGGCACTCGATTGTCCTCCCCCGCGCTCCCCCCCCCCCCCCCCCCTGCCCATCGATCACCCGTCCGCTGGCATGGTCAACATACCCCAGCGGACCCGGCCACGCCCGGAAGGGTGAGCGGTAGAAGAACGGCCCGACGAGACCAGGCGCGGTCCGGAACCAGCGTGTGTCATTAAGATCTCTGGCCGGCAGCCCCACGTCGCCTACACCCTCCCTGACCCAGTGGAGATGCTCTGCCGGGCCGAGAGCTCCGAGAGCCAGACCGCCTGCCGCCCCCCTTCCCCCCTCCCCCCTCCCCTGGGCGCCCGCACCCAATCCCCATCCGCCCGGGCTGCCTGAGCCCACCAGGGCCACGCACAGCCCACAGAGGATACAAGCAAGCGGCCGTTCTTCATCCATGAGAGGCGACCGAAGGCAGGCCAATGCAACCAGCCTCCAAGGCCAGCAAGTAGCCAGCGCACAACCGATCGGCCAAACTACTTGAGTCTCTCTCCGCGTCCCCACGCGCAGACTCCAAAGTGCCAATGATCCTGCGAGCATGGTATCCTTCGTTCACCAAGCCCACAGTCTTATCTCGAGATTAAACCCACGCATGTGGCCCTCACAGAGGGGAGCGCGTGGCCAATTTTCAAGCCTCCCTAGCCCCACCACCCCGCCAGATGAGCCAACGTTTCGAAGAATGGCATGACAGGGCACACGAAAGAGAAAGGAGAAGGTGGAGCGGTTGCCCGAAAGGGTGGGGTGTGCATATTTTTCGTGCCCCCATCTTAAGGCCCGGAATGGCATGGCGGCGCGCCGCCTGCCAAGCATCGCCCTATCAACCCCTTTCCTCTGCCAGCGGCAGCCGCCTCCACACACACCTCGTCGCTGGGCACACAGAATGAACCCCCTTGCCTGGGAGGGCCTGAAAGGTGTGTGTGTGTGTGTGTGTGTGTGTGTGTTGAGACGGCGGCCGCTGACAGAGGAGGGGGGCTGATAGGGCGATGCACACCTCGAGGCGCCAAGGGCCAGCCTGACCATGTCCCACCTCCGGGAAGCGCCTGAGACCCCTCTGCCTCCCCCTTTCATGTGGGCATTCCCGCAACCCCTGCCTCCCATTCTGTGGGTGGCCTCGAACTCGACAGTCTCGCGCTACCACGCCGACAACCGGCCCCGGTGTGCACCACATGCCTTCGAAGCGTTAAGGAAGCGCCCTAGACGGGTTGGACGTGCGTATATAGGTACACACAGACACACATGATTTCATGCGACTGGGCTCGGGCATCCCAATAGTCAGGCGCCTTGCATGCTCCCTGCCACTGGCATGCCCGAAGTGCTGTGTTCGCTTTTGCGCGTGCGCATTGATCTCCCACAGCGAATCCCGGCTTGACATCGCACCGGGGGGCTCTGTTCCGCCACCGGGGCAGCGGACCACCCATGCACATGCGCTTGTATGTCTACATGAAAACACGCACACTTGCGCGCCCGCGCGTGCCCGGTACCGCCCCCAACCATGAGATGACGGCTGCCGCGTCTGAGGAACACCGGGGCACCAGCGAACGGCCAGGAGGGAGGGAGCTGGCGGGCATGCGCCAAAGGCCACGCTCCCTCGTCATGGCTGGGGCCGACCCCGGGCGCCGGACTTGCCGGATGGTGCCGGGGGTACCTTGGGCCCTCACTTGCAAATGGCCATCTGGGAGTGACAAACCAGGGCCAGGCACATGAGTAGTTGCTCCTTGATGGCCTGCTCACGGTTGAGTGCTTCATCGATGTCCCCAGCTGCGGCCATGTCCAGGCCGATGTTCCACCGGGCAAGGTGGGCCACAGAACGCTCGCCCGAATGGCCCATCACCGAATGTGAGTCGTACGCCCGCGGGAAGGCCGTCCGGCCGCTCGGCTCTCGGGACAGGTCCACCGTGTTGAAGAGGTCGGCGCGCCTCTTGCCCGGGCTGCTACCTTCCACTATGATGTGGGGGAGTGGGACCCCGTGGACGAGAGCGCACACCTCCTCCAACAGCGAAGCTTGCCTGGCACCGTGGATAACGCGTGTGTTGTTGGGCACACCGGACTGGGTCTTCCTCGGGAGGATCTCCCTCACTATCGGCCAGGACTCGGGCAGCTTCAGGTCGAGGGTGATCTTGAACAGGCGCATGGTGGCCTGCTCGATGCCCTCCGGGCCAACGGCCGTGATGTAGTCCGCGAAGGCGTGCGGCATGTCCCACATGGCCATGTAAAGATCCGCCCGGGAGATTGTCCCATCTTCTGCCCGGACTACGTTATCGATGAAGAGCGAAATGAGCTCGAAGTCCATCACAACAAAGCGCGACAGCTGCTTGGTGCCGGGTAAATCCCACGCGTTCAGGCACTCAAATTCAATGCCGGCCCCGATGGAACCGGCCCCGGCCGCGGAGGTCTCCTCCTTCGACGGCACCGGCTTCGGCGCCAGCAGCAACAGCTGCACCAAGTCCGCAAGGTATCCTTCGTAGTTGTGCCCCGAGGGATCCACCAGGAACCCGTGTTTCTCCGGCTCGTCCAGCAGGCTGGACATGTTGCTGACGAAGCCTTCGGTCGGGTCTCCCGCGCGTTCCACGTCTACCGGGGGGGGGGGGGGGGGAGGAGGAGGGGTGTTAGCGAGCAGGACCGCATGGTTGGCCGGGTCGCAGGCCATGTGTCTGGCGGCTCAAGAGGCCTATTAGAGGAGGAAGCCTGCCCCCGGCATGTGGTATGTCCAGCTCCTCCCCCGACAAGTCAAGGCAGGACGCGCACACTTCTTTACAAACGATCGCATCCTGGGCGACTTCAGCATCGGGACCAAGGGGCCCAGCAGGGCGAGAGACGCCTGTGCCTGAGTATGGCGGTCGCTCCTGCACGAGAAATACTCATTGAGACACAGCGCGTTCTTGATGATGAGCTTGTGGGCCAAGATCTCCAGGGGGAGCCCCGTGGCAAGCAGCCCCTTCTCGGACAAAAATCGCAGCATGACCTGCAGGTCAAGTGTCCGGCGGCAAGAGGACCCCTCGCGTCAGCAACTCCCGGGACATGTTGGAACCAGAGGCAAAGAGGCCATCCCCCCCCCCTCCCCCGCTCTGAATTCTCTGGGACATACCAGAGCATTGGCCTGGGCCACAGGGCAAAGATGTCGAAGGTTCTCGGTGATAGTCGCGGCATCGAGCTGGCTAAGGGAATCGCTCAAAGCACCACCCAGGGACACTGCAAGTGGCGATGTCGCGCCGAGACGGAAGCCCATGCATGCACAGGTACCCGCGCAAATACAGACGCAAGATACCCCCACCCGGAGCATGACAGATCCCATGGTCCAAGGCACCGGGCGTTGGGGGACACACACCAGCCCCGCAAGATGAGCACATTCAACCGCAAGACGCCAGGTTAGATGATATCCCCCCGGGGAACAAGGCCAGGGGGTGGCGACACATGCGCGACATACACTTCCCATCGAACGGCACAAGAGTCGAAGAACAGCGCGGGATCGCCCCGCCGACATGGTAGAATACCATGGCCAAGCCGGGGGCGCACCTGCGGAGGCCAATTTCGTCCGAAGCTTGAATAGTCTGCTGTCAGGGTTAGCATATGCCTTTGGGCCGAAGACTCCATGGCACCCATGGTACATCCCAGCCCCCAGACTCCAGCGCACGTACCATGCTAAAAGAGGACGGCTCGATTCCTGCCACAAGACTGCACCGGGGAAGTGAAGAAAGAGGAGAAAAGGAAATACACACACGCGTATGTGTGGGGGAGAGGGAGAATTGTAGAGCGAAGGGGCGGAGGTGAAAAGAGGGAGGGAGAGGGGGGAAAGGAACCAGGAAGGCTCTTTTCTGGCAAGGCCCCAGGCCACTACCAATTTTGGCCCATCTCCATCAGGCTCTAGCGCCCACCCCGCCGGCCCTGGCCGTCCGCATGGCGGCCCCATTCTCTGCCAGTACCCAGTCGCCGCCGAGCTCCCACGTTGAGGGATCTTGGTGTCGTGCGGCGACCCGATTCCCTAGGTCGCGCGCTTCCCTCTGCCTGCACGGGCACGTCCATTTCACCGGGCCCGAGCCGGGCACCCTCGATCATACCCGGGTTGAGTGCGTCCACACCTTTTTCGGCCTAGCCATATATTTGGCCCAACTCAATTGCGTCATCATTCGGTGCCCCTGTGTTGCGAGGGCCTGGAGCGGGGGGTAGCCGCTCCGAATGGATACACAAACACCGGCCGACGGAGCCCTGGTAAGCAAGTGCCCACGGCGTGAGGCCAGGGCTCCGGCTCTCAACAGGGGCCGATGTTCCAAGGCCTGCACCTTGGAAGGACATGCATTTGGAAGGGTGCTTCTCCTTTCGGCCGCACCAGCCAAGCCGAGCCCCATCCGCTGGGGTCAGCAGTCGGGAACACAAGCAGGGCAGGGTGCGCTAATCCGCAACAGCCTCGGCTCCGAAGCACCACGGTCCGCTGGTCGGCCCCTTGGCCAAGACCTGGCGTTTGGTGCTTCCAAGACCCGAAAGCAGACACCTCGGCCGCGGGGCGGCGGGTGTGGAGCCGCGCCCGATCTCCACCAGCCCATGCCCTAAAGTCTCCCGTGCAACCACGAGGAGCTCATGGGACATTTCGCACGCTGCCTTTTGTACATCATGCAGCGAATAATGTCGCCCACCATGCGCTGGGGCGGGATCAGGACAGATGCCCTCGCCCGCAGCCCCCCTGCCCCGGATCCCAGGCCCCGCTCGATGGTGGTGCCTCGGCACAAAAAATCCTGCAAATATGCCGGCTGGTGGGATACATTCAGAAGAGTAAAGGGAAATAAAAACATGGGAATAAGCGAAGAAGAAAAGAAGGGGGAAACAATGCGCCGACAAAAGAGGCGCGAAACAAAGGCAACACGACAGCTGGACGCAAAAAAGTGAGCAAGCCCAGAAATGGGGCACAGCCTTGATAGGCTGAGGGAGATGGAGGGGAGGGGGCGCGGTAAACCGCCGAAGACATCACGTATCAGCCAGACGCTTGACCTGCGTCCCAGGATTTGACCACGCATCCCTCCGGGCATCAAGCAGCCAGAAGGGGAGGGGGGGGGCACAGGCGAGACGGGGAGAGCAAGATGGCCACGGTTGGCGCGGAATGGTTGACCTGAGAGCCAGGGAGCTGCCCACTACTGACAAAGAACCCCTTGATTCGGGGCGAGACAGCATCAGACGGTAATAGTGGGACACTTTTTCATCCAGTGGGGATCTTCCTGCCAGGCTGTGATAGCTTGGGCATATCCAAATCTAACTAAGTGGCAATGGACTGATCCGAAGTAGAAGTGGTTTTGGCCTCGGTTTTACACTTGTCACAAAGAATAGCAGTCTCAGAAGAAGAAGAAGAAGAAGGAGGAGGATTGGGAGGGTTTGGCGGGAGCAAATACAAGTAAAGAATGGCCATGATCCGCTCGATGCTGCCTTGAGCGACATCCCAATCATCCTCACACAGCAACTTGGACTCATGGAGGTTTTCGTTCGCCAGATCCATGCGGAAGTTATCGTCGACTAGCTTCCGCAAGTTGTGTCTACCTGGTGGAGGGTTTTTCCCCTCTGGCTCATTATTGGGTTTCAAACCAATGTCGACGATTTTGTCCGTAGAGCATCGGTTTTCCAGAATACTCAACTGTTTACGCAGACCGTCAATCAGATCATCTTGATTAAAGATGACCAGCTTGCTGAATGATTCGTTGTATCGACGAGAAGCCAGCAACTTAGTCATACAATCCGAGGCATTCTTTGAATCAGTGGATTTGAAATTGAACTCGAACAGAGAAGCTTCCTGCAGAGCTTGGACCTTCTCATATGCCTCAATTTTGTCAGATGGAATATTGACAATGGCAACTCGAGCATATGCTACCATCTCCTCTTCAGCTGCCTTGACAAGTTCCAAAGAAGCCACATAGCGCTGCTGGATGATCTTGTCGAAGTCCTTCCTGGCACACTCATCAGAAATATCCCGCACTTTGGGAAGGACCTTCGGCCGAGAGGGGTAGAGGAAGTGATGCTCGGCCAAATACTTGACATTGCGCAGGCCATGACAAAACAATGAGTCTCCCTCCTCTGTCTTCCGGAAGGTCACACCACACCTCTCTTTGGTCAAGATGAGAGAAACAAGCTTGTCCTCCACATCCTCGATCTTGGGTCCCTCGCTCCACACGCCCATGCTCCAGGAGGTGGTTGGGTCCGTCTTGAGGTTGTTCACACAACGGAGCAGCCCAGCTTCATCCGGCAGGTAAATTTCTTTCGTCATGGATTGAATGGAAGCCCCACCATGGTTAGAACGGTGGCCAATAGAAAGAGGCGCAGCGGTGGAAAATGACGCACCTTTCGGCCAAGTATTGAGGGGCTTTCCCGACCCAGAGGTCCCAGCCGTGGCTTGGGCGGGCTGAGGGAGGTGCTTAACGGTGTAGTGAGTGGTATCAAGGAAGGGCGCAACCGTGTACAGGGCAAAGTAGATGGCCTGCATCTCGAAGGGGCGGACGCCCTTTTCAAGAATGGATAGCATATCCTGGACGAAATCAACAACGGCCAGCTTGTATCCCAGAAATCTGTTGACCAAATCTTTGTCGTCTTTGAGGAAGATGTGGACCATGGCCTGGGCGAGTCACGGAAGCATGTCAGTGGCTGATATGATGTCGAAACTTGATGCGGGCCGCATTAAGCGATGTCGAAATGGCCGCCGATGAGACTGGATAAAAACACACCAGGACGTTTGCCCTGCGAATCGGATCGAAGTTATGTGACATTTTGTAAAGCTCAATAAGCTTTGGCCGATTCTTGTCATCCTTCTTGACTACTTGGAGGGCGGGGGGCATTCCCACAAGTGTGTAAAGGGGATGCACAAAAATTAGCCATAGCAGAATACGTAGCACGGCAGGCACGGTGCCATTTATCGTATGGTCCATTGTGCAAGGCGACGGAAGCATGAATACATATGTTCTTACGTGTTAGAGCGGCAACAAATTGTCAAGAGCCAGAATAGAGCAGGTTGAAAAGGCTTGGCACTCAACCCGGGCGATAGCAAACCATGCGGAGGGCCACCACAGGAGAAGGCCACTTTCGGACGTACGTCTGTCAAGGATCTCTTTATAATACTCTTTCTCCTCAGCTCGTGCAATCACCACCCCAAGGGAGTAGAGGGTGAGACTTTCACTTTTGACAAATAGCGGGGCGCCTGTGGGCCCAGTCTAGGCGGGGAGTAAATGCCGTTCGTTAGGGGCTTGGGCAGTTGCAGAGCCATTTATGAAAGGCAGCGAGGATCAGCCATGTCCGACTCATAGAAAGGGGAGACCAGTGTTTGTACCATTTTGATATCGGAATGAGGGTAGGCTACCTACGCTAAAACAGAAAGGTAGGGCTGAAATTGAAACACATGCGATGCTGGGGGCAGGGGGGGGGGGGGGAAGACAACAATCCACAGGAGGGGCCCGTGTGGAAGAGCTCAATGTGTAGGGAGTGTTGGGGTCTCTGCAAGCACCTACGGGTCTTATATATATGTTTATCCCTGCAGGGCATGCTCTGTCCCTCTGTCTGTCCCTCGCCCGATGGCGCATCAGCACACGACCCGACCGGCAGCCCTCCTCGCTGCGGGCCGGAGTACCTTTGCGCCTATCCCTCGACCTTACCTGGCACGCATACCCACGACGCTGGGTCCTCGGGTCCTGGATGTGCGTCCTGTATGTTCCTCGGCGACCGGGGGCACTCGAATGCTTTGCCCAACCGCTCGAACAGTCACGGTAGCACCGCCATTGAGCAGCACCGGCAGGCCCCTCCCCACCCTGGGAGCTGCTCTCCGGGGAAAGCCACTCGCATCGATGAGACCCAGTGGAAGGAATCGCCTGCTCGAGCCGAAATCCCACCTCGGGAGTAGATCAAATCGCAATGCCCAATCCGAGTCTCCTGCAGGGAAGATGGTCTGATGTGTCTGCCCCGGGGCCGGGCCGAGCAGCCAAAACGCCCCTCCAGGGACTGGCATACAGGCGAGCTCATGGCGGGCTTCCGACCGGTCGCCTGCGCGCGCCCTGGTGCTGTACGGCTCGCTGAATCGACGAAGCGCGCCTCAATCGACTCCGCCGAGCATGCAAGTGCCGCCAAAAGACGCCGGCGCGTCTAGATAGACCCCGCATCCGAGGTAAGTACATCCTCACTTTCGCACTCCAACCCGCCTCTCGGGGAAAGAACGCCACTGTATGAGCCGGTGTCGAGGGCCCCGGCCACCATGGATGCCGTCCATTGCTCACCCCTCGCTTTCCTTGCCCCTCGCACTCGTCCCCATTGTCCGGCACACGGCGCGACACAGCCCCGAGAGGCCGTCGGGCGCGCGCTGGCTCTTGCGCATCTGTTCACATTGGTCATCTCGACTCTCTGTCAGCAGTCGCGTAAGCATGCATGTGTGCATGCCAGCCGGCAGCGTCGAAGCCATGGAATCGCCGGAGCGGCCCATACGTGTGCCGCCTAGCTCCGGGCACCTATGGATGCGAGGCCAGGAGTACTTGATGTACTCTTGGCATTCCCTCGGCAGCTCCTGGTGCCTAGCCGCGCTGCTCCGCCACATGGAGGGCCAAAAGGCTTCGATGAGTGGCCGAGGCATAGGGCTGCGATGGTCGCTATTTCTGCCCAGCGCAAAGATCATGAGAGGATAGCGAAAGAAACAACACCGACTGCATGGACACACATGCCTGGTCTGTGCCGAATGAATTCTCGGCTTGTGCACCAGGTTGCCTTGTTCGCCGACAAGCAGGGCGAACGAAGGTCCCCCGAGAATTGTGCGCAGTGGCACGGGGCAAGCGGTCATGCACGGAGCCCCGCGGTTCTTCCGGGATGTGTTATATCTTTTTGCCTTTGTCCAATCTTCAATCCCACGGCGGGGCAAGGCCGGCCAGCCGGCCAGCACAGCAACACCCACCCGTCCGGCGCTCTAATCGCTCTTGAAACTGCTAGCCATCAGCCATCCCACTCGATCCCGCAATGGTTTCCCCCGGACCGACAAACCAACCTGCGCCAGGAACATGGCCCGCCTGTGTGATTGAGTTCTCAAGGGCTCATGCATCCCGAGCGGGGATGGATGGCACGCCCACGAGGAGCTGATGTTGGTTGGAAGCACGTTCCCCAGCTGTGCTCGTGTTGGATATTGCCCATCTGGGCCCATGGGTTGCGCCTCTCAGGAGACATACTGGACTCAGGGGTATTTGCCTCCCCCTGGGCAAATGACTTCCATGGGCCTGCGTTTCTTGCGTAATAGCCCGGAGAGCATGCACTCGGGGGCGGCTCGGCACCACCACCAAGGCGACACCATACTGCTTCGGGGGCGCCAGTCCGTGTCTAGCCTGCCACGATTCGCCCCGCGCTCGGCAGGCACATCGCTGGTCGGCCGAAGGGGCGGGAAGAACACCGCCGCCCAGCCCACGCGCAAGACCTGTGCGCGAGCCCACAGACTGCCCATGTCGCCCTGTCTCGTCCTTGTCCTCGCACCTCCCCCCGCATATGGACAGGCAATCAACAGGGGGAGGGCTCATAGCCGTTCCTCAGAGCGGAGCCCCCCCCCCCCCCCCCCGCCCCCCCGGCGAAACACACGCACGCACGCATCACACCAGGGCGCAGAAGGTCTCCCGGTCCCGGAGCGCAGGCTGCCTTCACCGCCCCCCTGGAAGCGGCCCTCACGCCGGCGCTGGCCCCAAGCCCACCCTGGAGTTGTGGGGCGGCCTGCACCGCGCCACCTCGGCCGACATTGCACCGGCAAGCTCGCTCGCCTCGCTTTTTTGGCCTCCCCTCTTCGAGTTCACCATGCGCGCCAGACCCGGCGGGGCTCTTGGCCGCCAAGGACTGGCCGTCTCTCGGCACCATCCGTTGATCTTGGCAGCCAGCGCCGAGCGGCCGGCCCTTGGCAGCCAAGGGTCGCCCGATACAGGCATCAATAAAAAATAAACAACTATCAATGTCTTCGCCAGCCGGGCGTGCGCGCGCCGGGTCCTGTTTCAGGCGGCCACCGCCTCCGGCCCCCGGGAAGAAAACAAACACACCGGCTTGTGTGCGTGTGTCCCAGCCCCGTGCCCCCTGCTTGCGGCGAGCATCAACATAGCAGACCCGGAAGTGCCCCCAGTTGGGGAGATGGAGACGACCATTTGCCAACGCAACCTTTTGTTTATTCCGGGGCTTCCACGCGGAGGCGGGGTTAACTCACTGGTAATGAGCGTCGAGACCGCGGGTCATGCCGGCCGCGGCCCCCTGCTCGGTTACCGGTGCGCGCACGCCGGCTGGCCATCCCGGTAAACTGAGAGACTCGGGAGGTGCCGCGCCCCGGGCAGACCGCGGCACAGGGGAGTCCAAGCCGGAGGGGGTGAACTCCAGCGTAGGCCACAAGGGTCCCCCCCGCTTCCCCTGGGGGCGTTTGCCTTGGCACACCGAGCGTGGCTGGAGCTAGGCTGTTCGCCCGGACAGGCGTTTCCACGTAAATGCCACGCCAGCCGCCTGTGTGCAGCCACCGACGTCGGGCCTGTGGCGGGGGCCAACCAGCCCGAGGCGAGCGCCCCGTCCGGGCAAGAAGAGGCCGGCCTGCCCAGACCCCGCCGCGCTGCCGGCGCCTTCTGTGCCGGCGGAGCAGCGCATCGACCGGGGGTCCCAGGGAAAGCGAGAGAGGAGGGGGGGGGGGCGGGGGCGGAGCAGGGGACCGGCGAGAGCCCTGCGCAGCCTGGCCCGGCGCGTCGCACGGCTGGCGGTGCTCCGCTCATGGCCCCGGGTCACCGAGGCTGCGAATCTCACACAGACGCACATGCCCCCCCAGGTCCCGGGCCAGTCCGGCAGGGGGGGATCGTGCCCGGAAGGAGGGGCGCCGCCTCTTCCAGATCGGCGCGGGGCCGCATCACGCTCTCGGCCCGGCTCGCCCAGCACTCCGAGACCCAATCACATGTTGTATTTTATTCCTACTGATCACACCTTTCCAGGTCACGCCCTGGCCGGGCGTCCCGGGACAGGCCGTTGCCCCGGCCAGCCGGCGCCGCGGGCCGATCGCCGTGCGTTGGGATCCGATCCGCCAGACGGCCCTCCCCCCGGACGGCGGCCGGGGACCGGCCAGCCGGTGCAACAGCCTGAAAGGGCGCCTGGCTTTGGGTCCGAAGGGCCGGCAGAAACGGCACCCCCTTCCCCCTCCCCCCCTGCCCCCCCCCCCCTTCCTATCCCCCTCCCCCTCTCCCTCGCTCTCTCCCCACCCCCCCCCCCCCTGCCCCTCCGCCCGCACCGAAGACACCGGCGGCACATTCGACCCATGACGCAGGCCCCCAGCGAGGCCGGCCGGCCGGCTTCGCCCTTCCCTCTTCGCCAGGCCCCGCCGCCGGAGGAAGCAGGGCCACTGCTGCCCGGGCTGGACCTGGGGGCGGACCTGGCCGCGCGGGCGCAGCGTCTGCCGGCCCTGGCCCGGCGGACCCTGCGGCTGTTCCTGGCCGGCCGGCTGAGCCGGCTGGAGTACCAAAACCGCATGGGCTGCATCTTGATGGATGCGGCCGCGGCGCGGAGCATCGCCGCGGCGGCGGCCGGGCTGGAGGTCCGCGCGGCCCTGTCGGCGGGGCCCGGCCCCGCGCGCGGCCCGGCGGCGGTGCCGACGCGCCCGCGCCGGCGCGACGTGCGCCTCATGGTGCGCGAGTGGAACGACGTCATCTTGCAAATCCTGGCCGCCGTACGGCGGCTCTTCCTGGCCGCGCGGCCGCGGGTTCTCGAGCCCGGCCCGGGGCGCGGGTCGGCCGCCGGGCCGGGCGGGGCGCTGCTCGGCCCCGGCGGCCCCGGGCACCCGGGCCCCGGGGGGCTGCTCCTGGCCGGCGGCGGTGCTGGCGGCCACTCCGCCGGGCCGCTGGTCCTGGGGGCGTCACTGGCCCCGGGGCTGGAGGCGCTGCGCGCGCTGCTGCTGGAGGCGGGCGTCGCCTCGGCGGATCTGGCCGGGCTGACGCTGCCGGCCGTGGCCGCCCTCCAGCGCATGCACCAGACCCTGGAGTGGTGCGGGGCCGGCGTGCCGCCGGCCATTGGCCGGGCCTCCAGTAGCGGCAGCCGCAGCAGCAGCAGCAACAGCCGCCGGAGGCTCCTGGCCCCGGCCCGGTCCATAGCCCGGCTGGACCCGCGCGACCGGGGGTTCCTGGTGCGCCGGGCGCGCGCGCTGCTGGACCCCGCCGGGGCCGGGACGCCGGCCGCGCTGGACCGAGCGCTGGCCCTGCTGGACAGCCGCCACGGCCAGCAGGTGGGCCTGCTCGGGACCCTGTCACCGGCGGCCACCGCCGGGCTGGCGGGCTCGACGCCCGAGCGCCTGGGGTTGGGCGGTGCGGGCGCCGCCCCGGGCCCGGCCGGCCCCGGCACCGGGCCCCCCCCGCCGCCGCCCGGGCAGTATGTGGTCCCGGCGCACGACGCCCCGATCGGCGCCCCGTGGAGTCTGGACCGGCCGCCGGACGCGGTGTGGTCGGCCGGCGGCGGGACCAGCCTCTGGGAATCGGCCTTCGCCCTGTCGGCGCCGCAATTGGCCCTGCGGCATGGCGATCCGGCGGCGCCCCGGCCCTGGTGGTGGACGGTCGGCTCGACGCTCGAGGAGGACCTGGCCCGGCTGGCCGGCGCCCCGGCCGGCGACCCGTCGGATGAGGGGTCCTCGCCGGCGCCACCGCCAGGCGACGGGGGCTTTGTCCCGGGCATGGCCCTGGCCGGGCTGGTGGGCCGGTGCCTGGGCCCGGCCGCCGCCGCCGAGGGGGTGTCCCTCCCGCCGGCCGGCAGCCTCAGTCGCCTGGAGCTCGAGAGCCTGCTGGGCCGGGCGCTGGATGTGTTCGTGCGTGGCCGCGTGGAGGCCCTGCTGGGGGCGGTGTACCTGCCGCCGGGGCGCCGGTCGGTGTGCCTCGGCCGGCGCACGGTCGCCGCCGCGGCCGACGTCTTCCCGGTGGCCGGCTCCCGCCAGGCCACCAGCCACCTGGCCATGGCGCTGCACCTGGCGGCCGAGGGCAACTCCCCGGCGGCGCCCCGCCGCGACCCGGCCTTCTACCGGTCCCGGGCGCGCCCCATCAGCCGGCACCGGCTGTTCGGCCGGCTGTGAGGGGCGATCCGTGGCGCGATGCGGCGCGCGTGGGCCTGCTCCCTCGCCGCGGGCCCTCCTTCCCCTCCCCCCCCCTTTGCCTGTGCGCGGCCAGCCGCATGAACACACGACACGTTTTTTTTTCCACCCTCCTCCCGCCGCCCGGGGCTGGCTAACTCGCGTGAGGGGCGGCCGAGCGGGGGCGTCGTCAGTATGTCGGTGCCGGCGCCCCGGGCGGCTGTTTTGTGCGATCGGGGCCCGGCCGGCGGGGCCTGACCTTGCCCACGATCGGTATGGGAGCCAAGCGGAGATCGCGCGGCGCCGGGCATGCGCGGGAAGGGGCGGGGGAGGCGGACATGTCGCGGAAATCCGATCGCCGAAAACAACAGGGTCGGGGCGCGCCCGGGGAGAGTTGGCTCGGGAGGGGGCCCGGACGGGCGGGGGGGGGG